ACACCCAAAGTCCAGGGTCGTGAGCTTGTCATCTGTGGTGTGAATAGGGTCGTTTCAAAAGAACCTGGGTTCCCACAGAGAATGTAAATTTAGTTGATTTACTGTTAAGGCCATAAGGGTAAGTAGCTTTGACTAGGGGAGGCAACCTTGGAAAATACTCAAACCTTCAATGAAATTTTAGCCTAGCGTGTGTGATACATCCTGGCACGCAAGACTCCTGTCCTCAAATAAGGGAGGAGAAATCCTTTGTGCTTTCATGGTTATTAAGAGATGACTGCAGGCTGCAGAGCATCCCTGTGCTCTGCACGTGGCACTCTGCCACAGGCTGGCCACACGTGCCAGGAGCCTAAGTAGGTCTGGCGGGGGTCGGGAGCAGGAAACAGCAGCTGGTTTTGGGATGCTGGCTTCATGATGTGAAGGTGCCTGAATGTTCCAGACTGGATGGGAAATCAGAAGGACAGAGAGAAAGGAGAGCTGGGTAAAAAGAGCCTTTTGCATTTCCACTGGGATTTACAGTAAAAATGTCATGGCTGCAGAGGCAGGAATAGGTTGCACATCAGCACAGAAAGTTGCTGTGTTTGATTCTTCCAAACCACTAAGTGTTTTTTAGCATTTCTTCCAATTTCAGTGATCCACTCAGGTTCTGCTGGGTGTGCAGTAATGTGCTCGTGTGCTTAGGGAGGAGACAGCCCTGCCGGGGTGGGAGAGGGGCACCCGCTTGCTGGTGGTGCCCTTGAGATGGAGCTTGTCTGAAGAGGTTAGGGTTTGGGTTTAGTAAACTGGCTCTGGAATGAGAGGGTGAAAGAAGAGCAGCTGAACACGTAGGTGACGCTGTTGGTGAACATCAGTTGGGCAGAGGGGGAAGCTGTGGAGGACACATGCCTTCATTGTTAGCCCAGAAAATTGCAAAAGTTATTGGGGTTGTGAAAGTAATCCGCAAAATTTCCTTTTCATGGTTTTAAAACCCTGGGGGATAGCAGCTATTTGGTATAGTATATAAGATCTCTTTGCTAAAGGCTACTGGGTTACTTAGCTGCCAAAATAAAAATGATTTTATAAATTTTTGGGAAACCTCTCTTTTTGAAAGGTGCAATTGGAATGATAACCTCGCTTTGTGAATTGGGCAATAAGCAGTGCTGCCTGTAAACACATTTAGGTGTACAGCCTTGTCCTGATTTTTTTTTTTTTGTTCGTTATATAAATGCTCTAAATTAAAACAGGTTAGATTGAATCACACTGTTTACTGACCTAGTAGACCAGACTTGATCATTTAAAGTGTCTTTAACATCATGGTGCACGTGGCTGATTGATACATTAGCTTCTCTGGTCAGTATGCTACAAGTAAGTGATGTAGAGATGGGCCACGTGCATAAAAAAGTCTGTATCTTAGAGCTTAAAGCTAAATCCCTTGTTTATGAAATCTTTCCATATATGAATTTTGTCTTTTACTTAGGAGATGGCAACACGAGTTTAGAAAGCTTGTGGGTGGAGTAAATAACAATTAATGTTCTCTGATAGCCTAAATGATAAGCCCCCCAAAAGTACATAAAGCTATGAACGCCTTTTTTTGACAGGCTCTGAAGACTGCTGAGGAACACAAGATTTGAATCACTTAAGCATTAAAACAGTAATACCCATGGAAGAGCCACAAGACTTACCCGAACAACCAGTAAGTACATCTTTAAAGGCTAAAAATGAATATAGAACTCAAATTGGTGATATCACAAATTCAGTAGGCAGGTTTTCAGTAATGTAAAGGGAGGCTTATACTGAGTTTATTTATCTAGAGGTGAAAAACTGTTTTGCTGTTAGTGAAATGTGTTGCACATTGAATTTGCTGTAATCTCACAGGTGGCAGGAATAAAAGGAATGGTTACATATGCTTAGACTCTATAATGTAAAATAATTCCTTGTTATACTCACAAAACCAGACCATTTCAAGCCTACTGTAGAGAAGTTAAAATTCACTACTTGGAATAACTGTGCTGGTTATTACAGTGTATATAGTCTTCAATTCTCCTTGTGCTTGAGATCTTGTAAAGGTCCCATGATCCATCATCTCCACAGGTGGAAAGCATTTTTATCAGTTCTTTATTTAACAGTGCTCGAGTAGGGAAGCATGTCTTCAGAGAGAAATCCTGTCCAGACATCTTATTTCCAGCACTCTCTGTATTATCAGTAACTGGCAATATCACATCACAGAAGCTTTGGGTAGAGTGATTACTAATACAGTATGCTATGAAGTTAAATTTCTATATCTAAATCATAGTAACATAGGAATCAAGCAAAAAAGTTTATATTAATGTTATATTCCCAAATAAACCTGGTGCAAACTCAACAAGAAGTTGCCAAGTTGAGAGTGAAGCTTATTTTAATTTTTGAGACCTTTTCAAATGCACACAAAAAGAAAGTAGTATGCTGAGGGAAAGTTGGTCATGTCTCATTAAAAACATTTGGATGTATTTTTAATGTGAGAATTTATGTTCTGCAGTTAACTGATTAGAAAATACATTGTAATGTCATTTATGCAATTTTGTGACTATGAACAAAGTTGAATGAAGTGCAAATTTACAGTTGCTTAAAATATTGCTTGACACAATGTGTCAGTAATACCAGGTAATTGGGACTCCAGATATTTATAGAATTTAAAAATTAATTAAATGTGTGTATTAAAAGAGGAAATATTGTAATTACCTCTTTCTATAATGAAAACTGTTAATAAAATTTTTTTCTTCAGGGCATGAGAAACAGGGTACAGCTAAATTTTGATACCTGAAGGCAGATTCTGCTGTAATTTTCAGCTGAAGATTTTCTTGGTAATTTAAATGTCTACCACCAGTCAGTCATTCTAATACAGAATATGAGACTATATTGATCATAGCTAGTAAGTGAGGTGGTATTTTGAGTGTAGTGGCACATTCTTGTGGAGGGAAATGAGGAGAACAATTTTATTTTAATTTTTTTTTTCTATTGACAGAGTTCCTGAAACAAGTGGTTTTCCTCATTACAGAAAACCAAACTGAACTTAGTCAACTGAAGTCAGCTTTGTAAAATCCCTTCAGCCTGGCAGCCCAACACTGATACTGTACAAGCTTGTTTCCTTTCCCAAATGATTTTGCCTGTCTTAATCATGGGAACAAGATTAGTATGTTACTTCAAAAAATATTTATGTCAAGTTGTTGGTAACTAAATCCAGAAAGGAGCCTGTAGAGAAGTCAAAAGTCTTTGAGTTCAATATATTTTACAAATATATTCAATATATTAAACAAAAAATTATTAAAAATCTAATTGAGTAATTTTCCTGTGTTGGTGTGAACTGAAGGTAATAATTGGTCAAAATGTATACAGTGTGTCTTTTCTAAATGAATCTTAGAATTCTTACCCCACTAATTGCTGCCTGGTATGTTAAACAGGTTTGTCCTTTCTCCCTGGTTTTTTAATTTCTTCCCTTTTCAAGTCTGCATTGGAGTAGAGAATTCTCTGTGCATAGCATAGTGCTAGAAAACAGAATCAGACATGGAAAATAGAAAGCAGAAGAAAATTGGGTTGAAAGTGACCTCCTGACTTTCTCATGGCAAAAGATTTATTAATTTATAATAAGTTATTAATCTGGATTAGTTTTCAGAAGTAGTCCTGCATAGTAATCTCTCACTTGTTGAATGCATTGTGGATGGATGTAGTTGACTTTTATAATACTTATTTAATCCTTAATGCTAGAAAATGACAAAAATCTTTTTATAAGGGATGCTGAACTGGTATGACACTTGTCAGACAGCTGGACTCAGTCCCAGGGCGACTGTTATCCTCATGTCAGCAGGAGAACTTTGTTTCTCCTTTGATTCTGACTCTGTGAATACAACTGAACTCCATCCCTGGTAGATCTGGGACAGAAGCAGTTTTCCACCCCAAAGAACAGTTTGTGTTTTCAGTGACAGACACTTGTGATTTGGGAGCAGAGACCAGCTGGAATGTGTCACGACTTTTTTTATCTTTTTTAAAAAAAAAATTCAAAATAAGCTGAAAACTGTTAGGGAAATAAAACCCTGGAGGTGACAGCAAAGGGGTGCCCTGTGAGAGGTGCCGTGCAGCAGAACAGCCTGGTGAGGTAAGATCTGGCTGGTGAAGCTGACACCTGGATGGCTGTGGGACACCACATCGTTTTCCTCATTTTACAGCCACTACTGGACTGAAAAAAATGGGTCTTACCCAGTCCCTCCCTGGGCAGTCCTCCTGTGAAATCTAAAATGCAAGCTGCCAACTTGTAATTTTTACTTCTCTCCTCAATGTAATTTTGGTCTGAAGCAGTTAGCTACTGCTGCTTCTGATGTGATTAATTCTCTTCAATCTACCTCCTTTCCTTAGGATCTGTGTGGGCAGTTTGGTACCCTGAGCTGCCTGGTGTGGTGTCGGTGGCTCAGGTCCCTGTCCCTGCTCAGGGGTGGGTGGCAGGGTCCCGGGGAAGAGCTGGAGCACCTGCTGCAGGACAGGAGGCTGCTGAAGGAGGTTGAGGGGCACCGTGGATGGGCAGCAGCCGTGCTCTGGTGACTTGGTGCCCGAGAGGGCTGAGGAACACTGCTCTGCTTTCCCTCGGTGCTGTAGCTAACGTTGTCTCTAGGTGGGAAGACTGATACAGCTCCCTTAGGCCCTGGACCGTGTGGCAGTCGGGACAAGGAGTGTGCCTGCTTGGCCAGGCAGGAGAAGGGCTCTGGAGAAGTCTCTGAACTGAAGCTGTGGGGCTGAAGAACCACAACAGGAGCCAGTGCCAGTGTTACCAGCCCTTTGCTCAGGTTGAAGTGATGAATGCCAGACGATTTGAGGCTCTGTGATATCTGAGCCCTTGTACTGCTGTAGACTTTTGTCCTTGCTTTTGCCTTTTTTGCTGTGAGGAATGCTGATGAAGTTTGCTGTGTTCTGCTGTGAAGTGCTGGAGGGAACTGCTGCTAGCAAGACTAGTACAGAGCTGAAAACAGACTGAGCTCTACAATACTGGTAGCTGCATCAGGGAGATAAGATTGTCCTTTCAGCCTTCTCCTTGCCATCCTTACTGTTTGCTTACTCCTCTTCTTTTGCTGCTGCCTTGAGTCTTTATCCTTTTTTGTACCCCTGCATCTCCCTCTGCCCAACAGGAATGACTTATTAAACAACAACTGCAATAGGAGTGTTTTATTAATATATTTAAAAAAAAAAAATTATCACATTTTGACCTCTCACACTCAAATTGCATTTTACTGGCATTTTGTTTGTACTCATCAGAGACAAACTTAATAACACGGTGAGACATTTGTGCTAGCAGCTTTCATGTGTGGCAGCATTCTTCCTTTGAGTGCTGTACCCAAGTTGGGGGGCTGCAGTCCCTGCAGCCTGCTCCCCACCCAGCACGCTCCTTCCCAGGGGACTTTGCTGGGTGGTGCTGGCTGCTCAGCACCTGCAGGGGCTGGGGGAGTGGGGAGTGCAGCTGGGTGCTGGAGCGGCTCCTTCGGCACCTAAACCTGCTCCAGAAACATGGGAGGCTGTAAAACTTTCTGCCACAGGGAGAAGGTGGGGGAAGGAAAACCCTGTGTATCACAGGAACATCTTCCTCAAAAGACTACAGGTACAGAAACTAACCTGTCATCCTCCAAGGAGTTCAAAGTGGTGTCTGTGGCCTGCATGCAGAAAACCAGATTTGTGTTCAAGCCATTGCTTTCTGTCATGTAATACCCTGCACAGCAACTGGATCCAGCTGCCCACCTACCAAACCAGAATAAATGATGTGCTGGTTTTACTCCAAAATGAAAATTTGAACTCCTCATTTATTACAGAAAAAAAAAAAAAAAATCCCATGTTTATACAGTATTTAAATATGGGGAAAAAACCCAAAGGACCCCAGTTTATGGCAGTTGTCCTGAATCTATGCAGAATAAGATTTTCTTAAAATTTATTGATTTATTAAATTGCCTTAAGATTGTCCTTATCAGACATTTGTAGTTGTATAGCCCATCATCTGTTCCTTACTTAAATAAGATGGCAGTTTTGCTAGCACCTTCAGTGTTAGCCCTTGTTTCCTCGTTAGGAGGAAGCTCGTTTTGAGATGAGGAACCCATGACCAAGCTGGTGAGCTCTGGATTCAACACAAGGCTTTCTGTATTTAAACACTAATGTGAGCTCTACAGTAACCAGTGGTGATCTGCTAGTGGAGGTCTGTGTGCACAGGTCTGTCAAGGACAGCTTCATTAGCTTTGAACATTTTTGTCTTTGCAGGTGAAGAAAGCCAAGATGCAGGAATCCAGAGAGCAAAGCTTGAGGTATGTCACTTTGCATTTGATTTTTGTGTGGAACATTAGTAATGGTTTTTGGCCATTTCAGGCTTCCATTCCAGAAGCTTGCATGTTGTTTTATTTTTCAGAGATAGGGCAAATGTAAGTCACTCTTGTATCTGACACAATTTTAAGTTCCCAATAAAATTAAAATTTACTGTCTCTTTGGTATTAAGCTTTTGTAACAGTGGCTATGAAGAGTCTCAACTGCATCATCAAAGATCCTGTTTTTCACAGAATCTGATGATACTGCACATAACATGCATATATTCTGGTGAGACTCAGAATATTTTAATAGTATTTGTGCTATGATTGTCAGCAAAATGATGAGGATAACTGTTCTGAGAAATTAAACCCTCCAGTTACTAGCCCCTTCTGTTTAAAGGGGTTGTGTTGGACTATATTTAGTCTCATTAGATGCTTTCTGATGTGTATCATATGTAGAAATTGATCACTATTATTACATATAGTTAGAATAGCTATATTAGTGTTTATTCTGGTCCTGTCAGTAGTAGCAAATACTAAAAAAAAAATTTCTTTCTGACACCCCAGTGTGAGTGAGGAGGAAACACCATGTGCCATTCATGCAGGACTGAAGCCCTGAATGGAGACATTAGTACATCAATTAAAAAATACAGTAAAAAATGAGAGAGAATACTTACCAGCAAGCAGTGAGCAAACAGTGTGTGAAATTAATTGTATGCCTAAAGTTAGAAATTGGAGCTAATCACTGCAAACTCCTTTTCTAGCGGGTGTGAGCAGAGAGAGACACATAGTAGGAGGTTTGGTTTTTTCTCATGTTGGCTACAAAGGAGCCGAGGGCAGCACGGACAGATCTGAACGTGTGGATGCTCCCTCAGTGCTCACCCTGCTCCAGTGTAGTCACAGCTCTCCTCCAGCCACGAGTAGCCTCAAGACTGGAGTGTAAACATCCTTGTAGTGTATTGAAAAATAGAAGAGAGGTGAGGGATATAATTGCCTTTCTAACCTGCACAGATATTCTGGCTCTGTTGGGATAAAAGTATATATGATTTTAAGTTGGACCTATGGAATAGTTTAAAATAATTTATAAGACCTGTTTCTCCACAGCAACAAGATTTTCAGCTGATGTCAGCACTCTGGCTGGACTTGTTTAGCTCGATTGTAAAGTGGGGAAGGGAAGAGCTGGACTCTGTGAGGGTTGTCTCTCTTGGGAGCATTAAGCATCTTAACACTTCTGTGAATACGGCGTGTTCTGCTCGCCAGGCTGCTCTGTGGGATGTTTGCAGAGGTGCAAGGCAGCTGTGGTGCAAGTGAGAATTTTTCTCTGAGTCTGTGAGAGCTGAAAAGTTATAAATGATGAAGAATCAGAGCACTTGGGATTGACGTGTCCCAAAAGCATAGAATCAGAAAATGGTTTTCACTGGAAGGGACCTTGAAGTTCAACTAGTTCCAACCCCCTGCCATGGGCAAGGACACCTTCCACTAGACCAGGCTGTGCAAGGCCCCATCCAACCAGGTCTTGACCATCCCCAGGGATGGAGCATCCACAGCTTCCCTGGGCAGCCTGGGCCAGTGTCTCACCACCCTTGTAATGAACTTCTTCCTAATTTGTAAACTAAATCTACCCTCTTCCAGGTTAAAGCCATTACCCCTTGCCCTATCACTATGAGCCCTCTCATAAAGTCTCTCCCCAGCTTTCTTGTAGGCCCCATTCAGATACTGGAAGGCTGCAAGAAGGTCTTCATGGAGACTTCTCTTCTCCAGGCTGAACAACCCCAACTCTCTCAGCCTGTCCTCGTAAGGGGGTGTTCCAACCCATTGATGGTCTTTATGACCTCTTCCAGAGCTGCTCTAACAGGTCCATGTCCTTTTTGTGTTGGGGGCTCCAGAGCTGGACACAGTATTCTAGGTAGGGTCTCAGGAGAGTGGAGTAGAGGGGGAGAATCCCCTCTCTCGACCAGTTTGCCACACTGCTTTTGATGCAGGCCAGGATGTGGTTGAGGCTTTCTGGGCTGTACTCACACATTGTTGGCTCTTGCTGAGCTTTTCATCAACCAGCAAGTCTTTCTGCTCAGCATGGCTCTCAATCCATACAGCATGTGTTGAGGAGCAGAGACACAGGCTGGTATAGCATGGTCAGAGTGTTATTTATCTTTTTGTGCCACAAAATCACAGCATTTTTTTCCACTAATAATAATAATGCACAAATACCTGGAGTCTGAGTAGAAATATGTTATTTTCTATCAAAATTCACACTTTATTATGAAAGTCTGTTCATCTACTAGTATTAAGAAAGATTTCTAAGGATTTTGGTTATAAAGGTTTTTAGGGGGAAAAATCCAGATGGTGCATTTTGGTCAAGTTTCTCTCTCACTAGATGAAGGAAGCTCACTTGCCTTATAGCCAAACCCATGGCACTCAGTAGCCAACTCCATCCTTACCCTGGCCCATGAATGACATACCTCCTGACCAGGGGGATTGTCTGGGCATAATGCTGTAGCAAGGAGCTAGACAAAAGGGCCTCATCACAGCTTGAAGGAACAGTCCAGGGAAGGATGGAGCTACCAGGGCACTGCTGGTTATCACACACTCCTCAGCTTCTCCTTTTCCCCAGCTGGCAGGAGCCAAGTAAATGCCACCATGAGTGGTATGTTGGGGCCCTGCTGTCACAGTCTTCTGTGTTGGGAGGTTGCCTTACTGCTGGGTTTGTCCTGAAGACCTTGAAGCATCCTTAATGATGTCATACAGGCTGGGGACTGATCTGCTGGAGAGCAGTTCTGGGGAAAAGGGCCTGGGAGCCCTAGTTGAGAGCAGGATGGCCAAGGGCATCCTGGGGTGCAGTAAGAGGAGCGTGGCCAACAGGAGGAGGGAAGTCTCCTCCCCCTCTGCTAGCCCTGGTGAGGCCCCACCTGGAGTACTCTGTGCAGCTGTGGGCTCCTCAGTTCAAGAAGGACAAAGAACTTTTGGAGAGGGTCCAGCACAGGGCTATGTAGATGATCAAGGGCCTGGAGCACCCATCACATGAGGAAAGGCTCAGGGAGCTGGTGACATTTATCTTGGAGAAGATGAGGCTGAGTGGGATCTTATTAATGCTTATCAATATCTGCAGGGGGGGTGTCAGGAAGATGGGGCCAGGCTCTGCTCAGTGGTGTCTGGTGACAGGACTAGGGGCAATGGCCACAATCTGGGGAACGAGAGGTTCAGCCTGAGGATAAGGAAGAACTTCTTTACAATGAGAGGGACAGAGCACTGGAAGGGGCTGCCCAGGGGCTGGTGGAGTCACCAGCTCTGGAGACTTTCAAGGGCTGGACATGCTCCTGGGTGATGTACTCTGGGTGATCCTGCTCTGGCAGGGGGGGTGGACTAGGTGATATTTTGAAGTCTCTTCCAACCCCTAACATTCTGTGAATCTGTGAACTTGGAGGTTATGATGCCCAAGATTAATTTAAGAGTTCATTATTCTAATGCTCAGCCTTTGTTTGTCCTGGCAGTCACGTGGGCAACACAGAAGTCAGTGATCAGAAACCTGAATCTTCAAGCCTTGGTTCAAACCTTTCCATGTCCAGTGAGAGTAAGTATCTTCTGCAGTTCTTCTGCTCCCACTGTCATTCCTCTTTTATTCCACTGGTCTCACTACTTGGCCTCATCAAGCACAGGGTTTATCTCCTCCTTGCAATCCTTAGCCTGTCCTCACTATCACTTGTAAAGTGGAAGTTTGCTGTGCTTAAAAGTGCTGATGCCTGATGGTGAGCAAATATTTCTTTCTAACGTATCTTTGTGTCACTGCCCCCAACTTGCTGCTGGGCACTGCTGTGTCCTTTCTGCCTTACACGTGATTTTTCTTGAGGTGTGAGTTGGTCAGCAGTAATGCCTACTGTCAAAGAACTGTCTTGAATGTCTGCAGAACTTCCTTATGAAAAAAATGGAGAGGACGCTGAAGCAGAAAGGAAAAAGTTTGCATAGTAAGTCAGAGGTGGAATGTGTCCTTCCCTCTGGAAAAAGAGAGCTGGAGGTTGTTACAGAAGTAGTATTCCTGTGGAGAACACCTTTGACTGCCAGCGCTTATAAAGAAGCATAAGTCAGGTCAACTTGATTGAAAATATGTAATGTAACTTTCCATTACTAAGTGATTGCATCTTTACAGTTTTAGTCCATGTGCTGTGGTGTTGCAGTTGCAGGAGCTGCAGGAGTTTTAGCCTGCAAAATCTGCTGTCTAACTGACTGGATAAACCATTTACAAATTCCAGAAGCTGCATGCAGTAATATTGTGGGGTAATCTTTTTTTACATCATTACTGAACTCCTTATATACTATTTTAAAAATAAGAATTCTAGATATCCCATTGCTACACTACTATTTGGATGAATATTGACATTCATTTAAAAAACAACCAACCAACCAACCAGAAAAAAAAACAAACAAGGACATTTTTGCAAGAGGGATGTGAGAGTATCTGACAAGTGTTGAAGGAAAGCCTAAATGAAAGCCAGAAGTTCCTTTTGGAACTAAGGTTCCAAAAGTTCCCAGTTTCATTTCCTGTTGTATCCTTGTGCTCCATGAACTTTACACTGTGAGTAGAGGCGAAGACCAGAGGAAGGAGATTCATGAAGTTCAGAAGGTTCAGAGCAGTTGACTGATGTATTTCTCAGCTGCTTGTGCTCAGATTACAATAAAAAGAGTTTGTTTAGGTAGCAGAATGTAAATGTTGAGTTAGGGCTGCCTGTTGAACTTGCTCCCCTTAGTGGATGTGACTAGTACAAGAGTTAATTACATGATGAATACAAGAGCAATGATGTTGTAGGCCTGTTCCAGGTCAGGAAAGCCTAACCTGCAGCAGGCATCTGCAGCAAATCCCCAGGCAAAGTGTGGTGTTACCCATGACCATATTTCTCTTGGAAGGGTGTTAGTTGAGTTACTGCAGAAGGGAGAGGGAAGTGCAGCCTCTTGTAACATTGGTGATGGAGGATGCTGTGAGCCTGGGTCCCCTCAGCAGGGCTGGAGCCTGGGGGCTTTGCTTGCTTCCAGACTGGCTCCAGATGGATAAGCTGGATCCACAGCAGCACAGCTGGGTTTGCTAAGGATTTGGGTATGGTGCTGGGGGATCCCAACTGGTGTTTACCACTCCTGTGTGGATTGACAGTCACAAAAGTCAGCTAGCCTGGAGATCACCACAGCATGCTGCAGTCCAGTGGTGGCGTGTGCCAGGGAGGCTGCACAGGGCCAGGGTCTGTGCAGGGGTCCTGCACATCCTTGCTTTCCCAGCTTGCTGGACAGCTGAGTACAGCTCCAGCTCATCTGAATCCAGGGAGTGGGGTTTAATGGCTCTTGGGTTAAGGCAGAGCAGCTCGAGCCTCTTCTCCACCCCAACCCAGAGCGCTGTAATTGAGAACTGTCCCATATGGGGTGTACTAGAGCCACAGAGGGTGTGAAGTGAGAAGACTCTGAGTGTTTCACCCTTGGATTTGCAGCCTGAGCAGCTCTCTCATACCAGTTTGCTGCAGTTTGGGGTCAGGGCAGCCCCCAGAACTGTAACAGGCACTCTCTATTAACCCTCTCCCCACCCCCAAATGGAGAGAAAAGAAGAGAAAAGAAGAGAAAAGAAGAGAAAAGAAGAGAAAAGAAGAGAAAAGAAGAGAAAAGAAGAGAAAAGAAGAGAAAAGAAGAGAAAAGAAGAGAAAAGAAGAGAAAAGAAGAGAAAAGAAGAGAAAAGAAGAGAAAAGAAGAGAAAAGAAGAGAAAAGAAGAGAAAAGAAGAGAAAAGAAGAGAAAAGAGCAAAACAAAGGAAAGAAGAGAAAAGAAGAGAAAAGGAAAGGAAAGGAGAGAAGAGAAGAGAAGAGAAAAGAGCTTTAATACTACCACTACTAATAATAGTAATAATGATAATAAAATAGACTGTACAAATCTATACAAAGTTAGTGCTGAACCCAGCTCCCATGATGGCAAGACGTCACTGTCACCCTGGGCGGGGGAGCAGCCCCTGGGGAAGGGTCCCAGGCTGGACTCAGCCACAGACTGGGCACAGGAGCTGGATTCTGGAGCTCAGTTCAGGAGCACAGGGCTGGGGATCACGGGCAGGATGGATGGAGTCCTCCTGGGATGCAGCCACTGCAGCAGGAGCAGCCAGAGCCCAGCAGAAGACGAAAGAGAGAGCACGGAGAGGGAAAGGGAAGGGCTTGTCCCTCCTGATCCTCCAGCTTTTACTGGCTATGCCAGCTATGGGATGGAACACCCCACTGGGGAATCTTGGGGTCAGTTCTCCTGCCTGCTCCTCCCCACAGGTGTGGGGCACTCTGCCCCCTCTGTGTGGAATCCAAGCTCAGCAGTGGCCTTGGTCTGCACACCAACCCCTGGCAGCAACTCTGAACATGAAGCCTTATCACTGCTAAAACCAGTTAGTTTGTGAAGATGCTGCTAACTTCAGGCAGAGCAGTTAATTAGAAGAGCTTTAGCAAAAGAGTAAAATCATTAAGCAGAACCAGCTCTATCTTAGCCCAAACCAGGACACAGTTTTAGAGTGCAATTGCTGTGGCTTTATTTATGTAGAAGAATGGAAATGTCCTGTTCAATCTGACTGCCCAGTTTCTTCGGGGGACATCCAGATTTGGATTCCAAGCCTTGTGCACTGCAGCTCAGCCAGATGTCTCTTGATGTGTGGAATTAAGTTTGTTGAGCTGGGCATCACTCCTTTTTAAAAGGAAAGACAGGTTGCTGCAGCCATGCTTTGGGTGGAGTGTGTAGAAAGGGGAGGGGGAAGAGGAAAGTTTGGCAGAACGAGCATCTGCTTTGCTCTCTGCTCTGGGACTCAGAACAGAAATGTTGAGCTTGGCACAGGTAAAGACTCATTGGCATATGCAGGGCTTTGAGCATGACTGAAATCAAAGTTTTATCATGAAAATTGCCAAAGGGACAGCACCAGCTGGCAAGGAGAAACAACTGTACAAAAGGAGGAACAGTATTGACTGGGCCATCTGCCTGCTGTGAACTAGCAAGAAAAACGTTTTTGTGCTAGTTTAAGAGTGCACTTTTTGAGAGTTTGCTCTGAAACAAATATTCAGGACACTGAAAAACTTTGTAAATCCTATGTCTTGGTTAAAATGTACTGTGCATGCTGGTGTTTCGTTGCCATTATTTGTTGGCTTTTGAAATCAATTATGTAATTATACAAACTTTTTTTTTTTCAGTTATGACATGCACTGATTATATCCCAAGGCCATCAAATGATTATACCTCACAAATGTATTCTGCAAAGTAAGTCAAACAATTGTTACTGAATTCTGTAACTTACTTCTTTCTGAATTAATAATTTTGTGTCTTTATGCACTCCTGTAATGCTGTAAATCACAGTTTCGTATCTGCTGGCACAGATACTCATGGCTGCAGACACTGAAGCTGGTGGATTTCACACTTTGGCTTCAGTGGCTGTTGTTTTATGATCATGAGGCTAAATGAGCCCCTTTGAGTAATTACCAACACAGTAGTCTTGTTGGATAATGCCCATAACATTTGAGGAATAAACAAACTGTCGATAAATTAATTTAAGGGGAATACAGGATTTTCTTTGTTCATGATGTTTGGAGATCTTCATAGTTCTTCCCATTGCAGCACAGTAGACCTAAATCCTTCCTGCTTGCTTCTGTCTAGTCTCTGTGTGCTCCAGTAGCTTTGACCTACACTACAATATTGTATTAGCCTCAGGGTTTGGTGTTGAGGGTAAGTGAAACTAATTCCTTGTGCCTGCTGGAACAAGGAGTTTGTTCTTTGCCCTGTCACCCTGCCCTCCCCATCCTGGAGTGAACGTTGGTGTGCTGGCAGCATGGAGGAGAGAGTTTCCCCTGGTGGCCCCACACGAAGCAGCAGCCTGGTAAAGCCAAGAGCCTGCTGCTCTGGGAAACACGAGTGGGTTGTTGCACAGGGCAGTGTGTGCTGTGTCTTCTTCCTAAAGCAGCTTTTTTAGGTGTCGTCTGGTCTGGAGGCTGAAAGATTCATAGTGTAAGTGGTTCTTTTTTACTTGTGTTCTTTCCTTTTCATAAGGCCATATGCACATATCCTTTCTGTACCCGTGTCGGAGACCATGACCCCTTACCCTGCCCAGACTCAGTACCAAGCCCTACAGCAGTCTCAGCCCTACACCATCTACCCACAGACCACCCAAACCTATGGACTACCTCCTTTCGGTAAGAAGTAACTTCTCAATGAGTTCTCAGTGCCTGCAGTTGCTGTCTCATGTCTCATTAAAAAGTCAGTGTTGAGCTTAACCCGGCGTGTTGGGGAAGGGTCTGCTGCAGAGCACGTGCCTGCCTGAGCGAGTAGGTCAGTGCTGATCTCCAGATGAGACTCCATATTATAAAATATTGTTTCTGACAAAGCTGTTTTCCTGGCCATTAGTTTGGATGTCTCCTGGTGAAGCTTGCCAGATGGTTCTTAGTTTGGGATCATGATTTTCTCCAGGAGTGGTGTTTGCCATGCCCATGCCATGTTTGTACAGTTTCCTTGTCAGTGAAATCACTCAGGACCCCATACTACAGCATCTCAGCTGAGGGTGGTTTTCCTCTCCTTTTTGCTGGCCAGGGTTAAAGCTTTTTTGTTACTTCATCTTTGATCAAATGAAGATTTCATGCAAAAATGTCTCTATGTGTACTAGGCAAATAAGCTTGCTTAAGTTGCTCTAATACTTGAGCCCTTTATTAGCCATTCCAGTTTCTGCAAATGCTGAAGGGTGAAAGTCCTGTTGTAGCTGAGCAGCTAAAGCTTGGTGATGGGGTTTGAGCTCTTCACCCTGTGCTTCCTTTGTAGTGCCTGGACAGAGAGACTCACCCCTGGGCTGCTGGTCTGTTTTAGAAGATAATGGCCATCTTTCTTCATAATGTAGAAGAGGAGTTGAGGAGGTGTAGTGCAGACAGAAAAAAAACCTAACTTTGGAGGGGGTTAGTTAGTGAGAGGAGCTGCCTGGGCTTTCCATGTACTCTGCATATTAAGTGTGAGCCACTGGGGAGAAAACCAGATTGGCTGTCCCTCCAGATGTGTGAACTTTTGTAACTGGTTATTAAAACTTAACATTTTAACTTGTCTTTTGATTGTCAATGTTGCCCTGCTTGATTTCCTATGTAAATACTGCCTAATGTTGCCAGCTCTCAAAAGTGTCTGGTGGGAAGAGGCTGTTCTGCCCCTTAGCACCACGCTCTGGGGAGGGGGGAGCATCCTCCTTCCACACAGGCACCGTGGGAGGCACCACGAGAGCAGCACACCCAGGAGGTGTCTGTCCCAGGGCTGGGGGCATCCTGCAGAACCAGGTGAACAGGGCCTCTTGCAGATCCATCTGTGGTGCTACAATCTGAGCATCTTAAAGTGTAAAAGGAGGAATTTTTTTCCTTAGCTGAGGAACTAGATGTCTTTTTATGGCTTTTGCTAGCTGCTGACAGAGCAAGACTTTTATATAAATCACAAAACAATTGATTTCTTGTGGCATTTTTGAAAGATGGTGTAGGAAAGATAATACAGCTGGGCTCTGTTTTATTAGACATAAGTTATATTAATAATACTGTTTAAAGTAATATGGCACAAATCGTTATCTTTATGAGAAAAGTCAATATGCAAAACAAATCTACATAGCTTTCTTTTTTATTCATATGTATACACCTCAGATTTATGAAAAGGAGTTTTCTTGTGGTCGAGGGATCTTTAGGAAGAAAATTATGGTTTTCTAGTAACTGGGACACAAGGGTCTGATTAAACAGTGTCTCCCAAATGTCATTTACCCTGTATTAATGCTGAGATACATTGTTCTGGCTGATCACTTCAATGTCATAAGAATGGAGCTTTGCAGGGTGCAAATTTTGGGCTATTTTACCAGCAACTCAGGGCTTTTTAGGGGAATAGGGTCATTGGGTGGCTGTTGGTATTTGCTGCTTCTGCATTTCTAGCTCAGTCCCTGCCAGTTGGGTTCATTCAAGCTCCTGCCATCTTGGAGATTTTTAAAACCAGTCAGCCCTCCCCACTCCCTGTCATGAGGATGGGTCAGGATTTTGTTTGGGTGAGGACCTTGCTGACTCTGTGTTAGGTGACCTGGGGAGCTTTAGGTCTCTGCCTGTTCTGCTTTCTGAGCTGCCTTCATTCCTCCAGAGGAGCTTTTCCCTGAGAAGCTGACCCGGTGCAGAGAATTCTGATGCTGTGTCCATACTCAAGTCTTCAGTTGCCAGTGCAGTTTTCTTCCCTCTTTCTAAACACTCTATTCCTTGTCTGTTTGTCTGATTGTAGTGTTGGGTGTTGTCACAATCATCCGTTGCCTACAGGGACCCCGTGTTATGTTTGCTGTGGTCTGTTTGTGGTCTGAGGTGGTTTACTGTGTTAGTTTTGTTTGGTTTGGTTTTTTTAAAGGCAAATATGTGTAAATATGTGGAATGCTCCCTAGAGGTGTTAGGCCAAGATGTTTAAAAGGTGTTTTAGACTTACTTCTAAAATTTTTAGGAGGAGGGAGGATGTAGGGTGGGCTTGTTAGTGTTTTGTTTGTTGGTGGTACTGGTGGTGGCTGTTCTGGGGGAGTGGGAGGAGTTTGGATTTTTTTAAGCCAAAGGTTCTGGAACTCAGGGACATTTAACTGCTTCAGGGTTATGAGACATTCTTCTGAAAGCCTAGGCAAAAGATAAGGATTTTCTGTTTATAGGAACTTCTGTCTGTTAAGCATCTTCTGAATGTATTCAGTTCCTGGAATGTCTTGTTATGGATTTTGAGATCTGTTATTAAATACCTGAATTTTTAGTTTGAATTATAAGAGGTAGGAAGATGTTAAAAGTCACATTTCCAGTAATGGAAATCATATGGGAGTGCTGCCTGCTTGATCCTGGTGAGAAGATGGACCTTGAACGGTATGACAGGTAGGTGGAGGGTGGTGGATGGAACATACACAGTGCAGAGGAAATGTATAAATTGTCTCTGCTCACAAACCCTCCACTGAGCAGGTGAGGACTTGGCCAGCTTGGTCAGAAGTTTTAACAGCAGCAAAGGGCCTGTTGCAGAGGTCTGTGTGACTTCTGCTGTGTATTTGTTTCAGTGCCAAAGAGAAGGCATCATGAATTGTTGAACTGGAACAAAGAAGATGTATTTTAAGTATGAAATTCAAGTAAGCTGACAAACATAAGCATAGTCTTGAGATCACTCAGGTCAAGATGCTGCTCTTCAGAGAAGAGTTGACCTATGCTCTTGCCAATTTGTCACCTCTCTTTCTGCTGTAATACTTTTTTGATGCTTAAAGAAACATTGGATGTGGCTGTAAGTTGGTGTTAGAAATGCTGTGGATGTGATGGTTTAACTCCAGAACAATGTACAAGGGTGGGATACTCTGTGGGCCCTTCCAGGTACATGTGTCCTGTGACGTTCCTGTGCCCCAGGGGCAGTCCTGCCAGTGGATGTGAAGGGGTCTTGTTCCCCTTGCCTGGCTTCCTCTCTGTCCTCCTGGGGCTGTGCCACGAGAGCACAAGAGGGAAGGAGATGTGCCAGCAGGCCAGGGGTGTGCCTTGCTGGATGGGAAGAGAACGTGTCTGTACTGAGAGGGGACAGAGAGACAGTTGTGGGGAGCTGGGGTTGAAAGATGCCTTAACACAGGAGCTGTGCCAGCTCCTGCACTCTCATCCAGCCAGCCCTGCAGACACCTCTGGTGTGTGTCTGACCTGTTGTGACACCCCTCAAGGGATAACTATCCGACAGCATGCAGAATTGGTTTGTGCTTTATTGTCACAGTTACTGGGCACTCTGTGTCCTGTGACTGTCTCATTATGTTGCAGTCTGCTCCCTGCCCATATACCTGGAACTGTAAAGAACTGCTGGTCACTGTCCTCTCTAAAAGCTCTTCACTTGGTTGAAGATTGTGGCACTCCCTTTCCAGACTAAACCAATACAGCTACTCCCACTCCCCTCAGAGGATCAGTTTCTCAGCTGTTTCGTTCTGGAGTTTCTGCAGTGGATCTACAATCTTTCTCAAATCAGTCTTGCTCTTTTGTTTGCTAATCAGCACAGCACAGTTCTAGAAGTTTGAAACAGTAACAAAGGCACTAGTTGAGAGTCAAAGAATCAAAATCCTGGTGTGACTGTATAAATAGGTGAATGGCTTAATTTGACTCATGGGTGACAGTTTGAGTCCAGGTATGTAAATAAATCAAAGAGCTCTTGCAGAATTTGATGCTGACAAAGCTGCAGCATGGAGCGAGAGCTCTGGGAGCTCCTGCTCTTGTCCAGCTCTATAGAGTCACCCGTGTCTTCTGCATAAAAGACTTGGAGCTCATAGCCTGTGGCTCATCCTCTTAGAGCAGGTGAAGAGCTGCAGGTGGCTTTCACAGCCTTGGGACAGGTTTTTGGGAGTGGGTTAATAAGCAGGGTGGTCTTTCTGCTGGCCCTGAACTTTTTGTCTGGCTCAAAATGTCCTTTGTCCCTCCACTTTGCACACTCCTGCTAGTTTTTAAGTAGATGCTCTCAACTGATTCCTGCTTTCTAACCAGGTCCAGGGAGAAATGTCTTTGACTTGGCTGTATGTCTGGAAACATTTAAACAAAAGTCTGAAGAGCCCTGAAGAACCAAGCTTGAACTGAGCTACTTCAGTTGGATGTAGTAGACTAGACCTTAACCCAGCACCTGAGCTGAAACCACATTGCTTGTGTGTGCCCTGTGCAGCTGGATTGCAGGCACTTGGCTGTCTTGGGACTTTATTTAGGGATACAGAAGCTTTCCAGAATGGCAGGAAATCTGGAAGAAACATTTAGAAAGATTCCCTTCCTCACCCCCTTTTTTTTTTTTTTTTTGAGGTCTATATTCACTGCTGTCAGTCTGAAAATTACTGACTTGTGGTTTGTTTTAAAGTACTCAACCCAAATCCTAGTGAAGTAGGGGAAGTGTTGACCTTGACCTTAACAGACACCAGCTCCAGCCTGGCTGTGTAACAGCTGAGGTCATTTGCAGTGCTGTGCAACTCAGCCCAGGGATCAGAGGCTCTGGCAGCTCCCTCGTACTGACATGGCAGTGAATCTTGCTGTGACACTAACAGATGTTTAGTTGAAAGCTTTGCAAATTGGTCTTATTGGTGCTTTTACTTTTCTCTTTTTCAGCCAGTTCTGTCAGCAGCTCTAACCCATGCACAGCCTGACAGCACTCACCACCGCAGACATTAAACCTTTTCCACGTGTGATTTGTTACTTGCTTTTGTGATGAGCAAACATCTTAATCTGAGGTAGCTGCACGCTGTTTAGTCCCAGCATATTTGTTTGTAACTGGTCCAATTTATCTGATTCAGGTGCACTGTGGCCAGGTATGAAACCTGAAAGTGGTTTAATTCAGACTCCATCTACAAGTCAGCACAGTGTTCTTACCTGCACGACAGGGTTAACCACAAGCCAGCCCAGCCCAGCACATTATTCTTATTCCATTGAAGGTAACTTGGCATGGTTTTTATCTGCATCTCTCTCCACCTGACTGAGTCCAGATAGCACAAATAGAGAGGCTTGCACGTTTGGTCTTGGTTTGTGCATGCTTCTGTGTGCTTTGCCTCTCTCCTCCTGGTGCGTGTGTCCGTGTGTGGCTCTGTGTTTGCTGTGCAGCTCTGTGGGCACCAGGCTGGCTTGTTGGTGCCACGCTGATGGACTTAACAGGGTGAAGAGCAAGTGGGAAGGGGAGAGGAGACGACGTGTTGTGTTCTTGCATGCCTTTCCTGGGAATGCTCTTGCAGCTCAAGCTCTTTATTGGTGGTCTTTAGCTTGATGGCAGGAAATAATGCTGCCGCGGGGTTTTAATTTATTTTTTTTTAATTACTTCTGGAGGTAGATGGCTCTTGTCTATCCCACACACACCCCAGGTTGGTAGATCTGCTAGCATAGAACTAGCCTGCAAATACTCCAGCTGCTGGAAGTGCCACGTCTAAGAAGCCAGGTGCTGAATTTCACCAGCTTCCAAACCAGTGTTTAAAAGTAAATGTGCCAGTTAGCTGAATAATGGAATATTGTTGGTTATGACAAATATGTGCAAATTTTCTTAGGCAGGATTTTTGTTCTTTATGTTTGGGTGATGAATTGTGAAAATTTGTCTTTTTCTCTGAAGTTTTTAAAAAGCATTTCAGGAATTCTTTATCTGTTTCTTGTGTGATATTTTCATAGAATAATTCAGGGACTTCAGGAGATCTTTAGTTCAGCCTCCTGCTCAAAGAAGAGCTGAATTCAGAAACAGGTTGGTCAGGGCTTTATCCAACTGAATCTTAAAACTCAAAGAAAACTCAAAAGAAAATGGAGATTTCACTGATTCCAGTGTCTGAATGTCATCATGGTGGAGCTTTTTTTTCTTTTTCCAACTTGGAACATCCCCTCTTTCATGTGTTGTCTGCTTCTCTCCTTCTCCTGCTGTGCACCTGTAAAAAGAGCTTGGATCTGTCTTCGTGATAATCTCCATGCAGATACTAGCAAGCTGCTGTCAGGTCCCCCAAATCCATCTCTTCTCCAGGCTGGACAGTCCTGCTGCCCTGAGTTGCCCCTCACAGTTCCCATGCTCCAGCTCCCTGATGGTTTTGGTGGCTCTTTGCCAGACCCACCAAATTTTATCAACATGTTTCTTGTGCTTCAGGCTCCAGACTGGATGCCGCATCCAGATGTGGTCTAATGAGTGCAAATTAGATCACAGAATTGTTTTTGTTGGACCTTTAAGATCATCAAGTCCAACCATTAACACACCACTGCCAGGTCACCACTAAACCATGTCCCTCAGCACCACATCTACACAGCTTTTAACCTCCCTTTTAAACCCAGGAGTGGTCCCCTGGGCAGCCTCTTCCAGGGCTTGACAGTCATTTTAGGGAAGAATTTTTTCCTGATGTCCAACCTGAACCTCCCGTGGTACAACCTGAGGCTGTTTATCTCCAGCAAGCCAGGTTTCCCTTTCCCTCTTCAAATCTAATTTCAAGCTCTTTCAATGAGCCTGGCCAGCTCCTCTGCAAAAATGTGTAAAGGGGAGTAGTTCTTAAAGTTAGCAGCAAGTAGGTGTTGGCCTGGCTGTCACTGATAGGAAGGCCATGTGCTATGTCGTGGTACTGGCTCAGCTTGTGTCTTTGGAACAGAAAGTGGCCCAGCCTGATGCTTTTCCTTCATTTTGCTTTTCACATTCATAAAATGAACAATGCAACTCTGGAAATACTACTTTCCTTCCCACATAGCTCTCCTCCACGCAGTCCCACCAGCACAACGAATTACAGTGCTTTCCAGCACCAGCTTGAAGTGCCAAGGGTCAGCAGTGGGTCTGGATAATGTGACCCTGGTGGGTTTGCCAGCACTGTGCCATGGTGAGCACGTGAGCCCCTGGGCATCGCCGGGGCTGCAGAGCCACCATCAGACCTCGCTCTGCAGGAGGATTTTAAACATTTGCTCTGCACTGCTGTGACAATGTGTGACCTGAGGAGAGTTTCCCTGCAAGCTGCTCCTTGATAAGGTAAAAAAGTGACCTGAAGTGTGCAAATGCCACTGCTTTTTTTGAAAAACCTTTTGCAGACTGTCAGTGAACTCTGCCTTTTTTGGACTGCTGTTCTTCCTTTTCCTCAAACTAGCAAGCAGCCTGCTGAGGAGTCAGGTCAGTACCTGGGCTGCTGCAAGGGAGGTGGTGGAGAGCAGGAGCTGGAAGGATGGACAAAGTTACTTCATCAGCAGTCTCTTGGAAAACTCTCTTTTCTCTCCAATCAAAGTAGTCAGGTGGTACCCAGGCGTATGGTACTCCTGTCCCAGCAGAGGTGTATTTAGGGGTGTATTTATTTATTTAGGGGTATGAGGTCTGGAAATGGGAGAGAAAGACAGGAAAAGAGAAAAAGAGTCATGGCAGCTTCAAGGCCATATTTGTGTTTGCTCTTCTTGTAAACCCGAGGCCACAAAGTGGTCCCGTTTGGCTCATCAGTGCCAAACTCTTTTGCATGTTTTTGGCCCATTCACAGGTGAAGGGAACTGACCCACAGTGCAGAAAGAATTGGTTGATCTGTGAAGTGGGAGCTGTTTGTTGTGCAACACTGTATAGAGAAAGGGTAATTAAAAAAGAAATGTTGGAAGGAGACCCGAGTTAAGATAAACAGTGAAGTTCATATGAGGGACTCTGTTTTTGCCAGAATCTTAGCACTTGTAATCTTTTTTTCTTTGATTTCTTAACTCCTGTTACCTGTCTCAGTGGAGGAGCCTCTTCAGAGAACTAGATGAGAATCACTTTCTGTTTGCTCTCTGTGATAACCTTGAGAGAGGTGGGTGAATAACCTTCTAGATAGTTCATCCACTCCAGCTTTGTGGTTTGTTCTGCATCATTAGTGAGGATCTTTTCTGGCGAGCTGCTTTTCACAGTGCCCTTGGCAGGGACATTTTCTTAGTGCAGGAACAGCCTTGGTTGTTTCTGTGGCACGCAGAGCTGCAGTGGGAGCTGAGCCCTGCTCCCTGGCTGTTGTGTGTGAGGGTGTCTGGGACAGGTACCTCACTCCTGCAGCTGTACTTCATAGCTGCAGAGCTACTGTAGGTTCTTGAGGATCATCATTACTGCTCTTCAGCTCAGCCTTTTCCCCCTTTTTCTAAGGTTCTACCCCCCAAATTCTCTCACGTGCTTTTGAACACTGCTGCTTCTATGAATGAGGGGATGCCCAGGGGCTAGTTACTTACCTTTGTTTCTGTTTCTGCAGAGATGCCACCCTTCACACTTCTCTCCTCTTGTAAACACTGCATAGTTCTGCACCTCTTTTAAGATCTATTTCTTTTAGTTTTCCACTTTTTTGGATCCATTCCTCTTTCCAGCAGCTGTTCACCAGGCAATATCTGTGCTTGCCATAACACAACGTGCATTAAGAGTTCCTGGTGGGGTGTTGCCCTGGGGTAGAAAGACTGAAACCTTCAGAAGCTTGAGTTCTTCAGTCTCGAGGTGAATTCCAGTGGGTGTTATTGCAGTGAGGGCTTTTCTCAGTGTTATGGTATACTATATATCAGGTGATACTGTGGGTTTCTGCAAGTCTTCTCATAAGTATCTAAAAGTGATTTTTGGTTTTATTTGTCTGCAGAGAAAAAAGGTTTAGCAAAAGAAAATATTTCTTGGTGGCACCTGGTTTAGTACATCCTGATTTTGTTTGTGCTTATTTCATGGTTTTCACTAATCCTTGAGGGTCCCCAAACCCCTTGTGGAGTAATTTTTAGTTGGAGTGGTCTTGTGGCTGTAAACCCACAAAATCTGCTAGATGATCAGCGTTCCCAGGTGCTGCTCTAGCAGCCTCTCTGGGTTTTGATAATGTAGGTTATTAACCATCTTAAAATTCATGCTAACAACTACATGTCTCTAATAATTTGTCCTGCAAGCTGTTGACTATTTTAGAAAGTCTCATTCAAGAACCAGTTGTAGTCTCACAGGGGTGTGGGGAGATGATAGGTTCACTTTCTCCAGTAGGAAGCACCCTTTTTATACCATTTGAAATATTTTTACTGTTCCCTTAATTTTTTTTACCTAATTAGTCTAAATATCCTAAGTCAAATGCAGAGACAATTGTTTTTTATTTGGAGCTGGTTCAAGCACATTCATATCCATTTCATTGATTTATCCTGATTAATTTTCAACTGCTATTAATTGAACATGTAAGAATGTGATTATTGTCTTTTAAAAACTTTAGTTAAGGTCTGAAAGCAATTGCTTAGCAGGCATGGAGGTGTCTGTGACACTTTTTCAAGTGTCTGAAACATTTGAAAGTACTAGTTTTAAAGATATGCTGGCTCTCCTTCCCTCTAAGTGCAGTTGGAATGCAACTGGTTTCAAAATCCACTCCAACTGTTTCTGGCTGTTAAAAGCAGAGTGCTGCTGGAAGCACAAATGCTTGCACATAAGCCTAGTTGGTACATATTCCACAGCTTGGTCTTATCTCTTATGCTTTTCTAGAAGCATTTAATGTAGTAATTCTTAACTTTACAGCATCAACTACCAATGCCAGTCCAGTCTCTACATCCTCAACTGTTGTCAATATTTCCACGTCAGCAGTAGCCAGCATCTCACAGGTAAAACCTTGTCCTTGTTATTTTTGTGTGCAGCATCTCCTTTGCCTTTAACATGTTACTCATAGCTAACAAAGGAAGGAGAAATACTTGGCATCTCTTCAGATGGAGCACAGTGGGTACTAGAGTTATGGGGCTCAGTAAGTAACTCAAAGTCAGCAAAAGTACTCTCACTGTCTCTTTGACTGTGATGCTTCCCCCTTTGGCCTTCCTGACAGACTCACTTCATCTGTTCAAAGCTGTTTTCTTGTCTGGAGTTTGGGTGGTGAATCTTAAACAAGGTGCAGAGATCTCTGCAAGACAGAGAGTGGAGAAGAAACCACTGAACTATTCTGAGAACCAAGCCTACAAGGAGGATCATAAGTGGATGTTTTTTGGCTGCCCTTGTTCACCTTCTTCATACAAACAAAAATAGGTTGTACACAAACAAAAATAGGTTGTACACGAACAAACAAACAAAAAAGCAAAGTAGGAGGTGCATTCTAATGGTGCTAGAATAAACCAGCCAGAAGGTCCTGCAGCTAGCACAGAGTCCTTCCCCCTGCCTGTGACCTGCTGTAATACCTAGCACCATCAGCAGTTAGCTGCCATTCTGGATGGTTAGATATACAAAGGAACCTTTCAGTGTCACAGCTTGGCAGAAGGGGAATATAAGGAAGAGTGGGAGATGGCAATGGATGCAGGGAACTCCTTCTTAACGTAAACTTGCTTGGATCTGTAAGGGGAAAAAAAGATTTTCTTTCAGTAGTGCAGACCAAGGTCCCTGGTTCCCAAATCAGGTTGCTCTTTGAAGCAATCAGGAGTGCACAGTGTGCCAGATGGATGTGACATGACATCTGGGGTGGCTGCTTTTTTACTATCAGTAGCAGAAATTCAAATCCTCCAGCACAGCTTCAGGTGCTCAGTGATCTCCTCCTCAATGAGTAACAGTCTTTGTAAATGCATACCTTTCATCACAGCATGCACAATAATTGCTTGCTGAAGTCAGGACAGGAGTAAAGGCAGTTTATTCTGTAGCTCCTGTGGCTGGGATTACACCCTCAGCCAGTGCCAGGGCCACTTTCTGTTGCTGTCAGTACATCTGGTATCAGAAAGTAAAGTGCAAGAGAAACCCACCAATTCCAGAGCACGAGCAGGGTGCACTGCTGCCTTTGCATCCACTCAGTACTCCCCTGTTGCTGTCACATCAGTCATAATGAATTCATTTTTTAAGAACTTGGAGCAGAGCAATGTGATTGCTGGCCTCCTGTCTGGACAGCCTGCCTGTGTGGGGGCTGCTGGGAGGTCAGAGCTCTCAGCTGTTTGGGGGGATGCCTTTCAGTGGCAAAAAGAAATCACCCAAGGTCAGGCTGTGCTCTCGCTGGGGCTTCCCTCTGACAGGCACATTCTGGCATCAACGTCACCTTCCTATGGAGTGTGTTCTGAAAGAGGTGTCCTGCTGTAACTGATCCTTTCCTCTCACAGGAGTACCCCACGTACACCATCCTTGGCCAAGGTCAGTACCAGCCGTGCTACCCGGGCTCTGGCTTTGGAGTGGTGGCAGCCGCCGACAGCGCCGCCGAGAGCCCCGCCCTGGCAGCAGCCACGTACCCAGCCGAGAAGCCCAGCGCCGGGGGCCCTGCCCGGGCAGTGCAGAGACACTCCTCTGGTGAGGGCTGGCTCTCTGACAGGGTGGCTGCAGAGTGCCTGTGGGAAACAGCACAGTGTGCAGACATGGGGAAAGCTGTTATCCGAAAGGTAACTGCAGCACCTCTGCGTGCTGGCGTGGACAGGACAGCTGCCTTCTGTTGTCTGGTCCCACCGCCCTGTGGAGCACTGTGGTGGGGCAGCAAACTTAGGTGTTGGGAGTCCTGTACTGCTGCAGTTCAGGAGACACCTGCCACGTGCTTCGAATGCCAGAGGGAGAGGGAATTCTAGGGGGGAATTCTAGAGTTGTCAGCAGCAGCTCCTTGGGGACCATCATTTGTTTTGTTGGGGCTGGGCTTTCGCTTGGGCTCCAGGGCAGCTCTTCTCAAGAGCTGTAGTTTGGCCATCACCTCTCTGTGAGCTGGTCTCTGTGCCCAGGAGTACATCTTCCCTTCCTTCTGCTGCATCGTGTAAGCTGGTCCTGCAGTGAGAGCTGCTCTGCTGTGCTTTGCATGTGTGCACATCTGCATAGCAGTATCCTGGCACTTGGCAGGAGAAGATTTTAGCTAGTGAGAGATGTATGAAGTAGATTGAAAAGGTTTCATTGACTGTTCTAGAGAAGTCACATCTTTGGCTGACCTTTTCCACTAATGCCATGTCATGTACCCACTCCAGTAGTGTCGACTAAAATTTCCTCACCAAAAATACAGTTTTCTAAACTTAAAAAGGATGAGCAAAAGCATAGTGCTTCTTCTGATGTCTTACACAAGGAGTTTTGAGATTCTTCCTGTGTTTTCAAATAGTTCTAAGTTGAAATCTGTTGCCTGTTGCAGACTGGTAGGTTGGAAAAACCCCAAACAGATTCCATTCTTTTTTGGTGGTGCCCTAGGTCTTAAGTTTTGTAAAGGAGGTTTGTGGCCAAATGCTGTAAGCTTTATATTGGGGGCCTTTTTGAGACCTGGAGAGGTGAGAGCTGTGTGGTTTCTTTCTTCTAGGAGATGCATCCACAAGTCCTTCGTTATCAAGAGCAACAGCAAGTAAAGAGTTAGATGAGCAGGCAAGAAAAAACATCCCTGGGAAGAACAGGGGGAAGAGGAAAGCAGATGCCTCCTCCTCACAGGACAGTGAGCTGGAGGTAAGCAGTGATCTCTACAGCTCGTGTGGCAGAGTAGTGTGGTGGTAAAAGTCCTCCTCTCTTCCTATCCTCCAATCTGCATGGAAGAGGAAGGGTGCTGTGGGATCACAGAATTGTCTGGGTTGGAAGGCACCTCTGAAGGTCATCTGTTCCTCGTGGCAGCCAGTCCCCCCTGTTGGTCCTAACAAAGGTTTCTCTGCTAAACACCGAGGTCCTTTACGGGGTGCTCTCCAGTTCACAGCCAGTAAACTTCTACCCTAGCAGGGCTCTAAAGTTCATTAGCACTCTTTTAAGTTTTTGCTTTTATAACTATAAAAACAAGAGAAACTTTTGAAGTGGTTTGACTGCAAGAGCCTTATTCTGAGCATGCAGTTGTGCTGTAGCAGTGTATAAACAGCACTGCAATAAACTGAGTTGAATCATGAGTCCAGCCTGGAAGGGGAACACTGTTGTTTGTGTCTGTTAAAAGCATACTGCAGCTAGCCACAGAATTAACCCTAAAACTTCTTTGTTGCAGTTCAGTGCTTGGAATATCTCAGCTCTAACCTGATTTTATTCTTTACTCAGCGAGTGTTTCTCTGGGACCTGGATGAGACCATCATAATCTTCCATTCACTTCTCACAGGGTCTTATGCCCAAAAATATGGCAAGGTAATATTGCTTTTTCTGTGGAAGAAAAACCATATCTGTCCTGCAGAATTAAACGTTAGTCTTTGGAAAAGGAATAGAGAGAATGGTCGTTTTAAATGTATAAGGGGATACTTTTAACTTCTTGGCAGTTTGGGGCAAGGAAAGAATGCTAAATTTGGCTTTATACAGAGCTAGGATAGGGACATCATAAAAACTTCCCTTCTAACAGTAAAAGTCGTAAACTGTCAAACTGATTTTAGCATCACTGGCAAATATTGAGGTCATAGCATGTGGTGAAGGGAAGTGCTTTTTTTCCTTCAAAATCTATTGATTTTTGCATGTTTTGTTTGTGTTGCCTCTGAAAATGCATCAGTCCCTGCCATGCAGTACTGGAATGTTTTGTTCCATTTGGGGTCAATTTCTGTATTACCAGAATGTGTGTGGTGTTTTTTCTTTTTGCTTAAAATATGGAAGAAATTATAGTTCACACCACTGCATGCAGGTGGAATTATACCAGGTTTGATATACAGTGGGAACTTTGTGCATGGAGCTGATGACAAAATGATCACAATTTGCTTCTGCCTGTAGCCACGGTGAATTCACATTTTCCTCCTTGTTTTGTCAGGACCCAACTCTAGTGATTGGCTCAGGTCTGTCAATGGAGGAGATGATTTTCGAAGTAGCTGATACTCACTTGTTTTTCAATGACTTGGAGGTACGTGGCCAACACTTCTGAAAGGCAGAACAAACCTAGTGAGAACACTGCACGCCAGGTGGGATGTGGTGCTTCAGAGCCACGTAGTGCTGGAATGTGGTTCTAGGCACAACCAAATCAAAGAGGGGTCCTTCTGTATCTGAGACAGGCATTCCACAGACTTCTAGTGTCATGAGCTCTCTGAGGGGTTTCTACTTGAACCTCTGTAAATAGAGTGATGTCTGCTTTCCTTTATTTGCACTCATGAAGGACACGCTTCCACAGGCAAGCATGCTGTACACACAGATCCCACAGCACCTCCCATTTCTCTTTCCTTCAAGCTATCTCTGCTGCTCTCCTGTTCCCATCCTGCCTCAAGAACTTCTGATCACCTCTTTTATGTACAGTGTTCTTTGTTAAATTAAACATCTCAGTGTTCTGCACCACTTCCACAGAAGGTGACTCTAAATCTTTGCTTTCATCATGGCAATACCCTGTGCTGTGCTATGACATATTATCAGTTGAGGATTGACCCAGTAATGCAACCTGTATGGGAAGGTGTGATGGTGTGCCAGAATCTGGAATTAAATAGTTTGGAACAGCAAATTTCTTGACTCATGTCATCTGTGATGTGAGTTCACAAGTGCAGACTCATGAAGACTAGCTAAAGCTTGGGAAGGCTGACTGAACAGTGAACAATTAGTGGTAGGTGTGTCACACCAGGGGAAAACAGGATGGTTTTGTTGATGCAAATAGAAATTTAAGTGAAGTTTCCATTTGTGGCTGTGACAGCTGGCAGCTGTGAACTTTGCAAATGTGGTAAGGACAGTTACCTCAGTGCCCCAGAAGAAAACAAGCAAACCAACCAACAAATACAGTCTCTTGATAGGTTAACTATGTGATCAGGTTGGATCAATGGCCAGTGGGTCAGGCTGGAAACTGCCTGGCAGAAAGGAACCTGGGGGTGCTGGTGGGCAGCTGGCTGAACATGAGCCAGTGTGTGTCCAGGTGGCCAAGAAGGCCACCAGCATCCTGGCCTGGGTCAGAAATGTCCAGCAGGAGGGAAGTGAATCATGCACTTGAAGTCGGCACTAAGGCCACATCTTGAGTACTGGGATCAGTTTTGGGTGGCCTAGTATAAGACAGACCTTGAGGGGCTGGAACAGGTTCAGAGAAGGGCAACGAAGCTGGGGAGGGGTCTGGGGAACATGGCTTGTGAGGGGCAGGTGAGGGACCTGGGGGGGTTTAGGCTGGAGAAGAGAAGGTTGAGGGGAGACCTTCTGGCTCTCTACAACTCCCTGACAGGAGGTTGGAGTGAGGTGGGGGTTGG